TTCAGCCACCAGGGGTACTAGCCTAAAAAAGGTTGAAACCCCCTGCTCTAGAACAATGAACAAAGGTCTTAATACATTGATAAGAAAAAGGAACTAAAGCCTTGGAATTGAAGCAGTGCTGGTAGGGCATGGAGCTGCTCTGGACCTGTGTTGGGATCTTGAGGCAGTGACAGCATGGTCCAGAGCCGGGGCAGAACCGTATCCAACCACCTGATGAGCTTCCAGAAGAAGCAAGAGTGTCTTCAAGTCCTGAGACATCTTCTGACACTTGGGCGTACTCCAGAACTAAGAATACCATATGTATTAGAACATATACTAGTGGCAGCTAGGTCCTGCTGCCTGCCTGCCTGTCTCTGACCCAAACTGGGTCAGTCTGGCCTGTAGCTTAAAAAGGTGCCAACTGCTGTCGTAGATCTGTTCATCATTGAGAGAGCACGACACATGTCAGAACCTCCGGCTCATGATCCTTTTGGAGTAGGACCTCCCTGCTTACGGGATGCCTTCGTGCTGCAATGGCCTCCATGTCCTCCTACGTTTTCCTGATTCCCCTGTTCCCCACAGTGATATCCAGTCAGATGGGATGACCATGTTGACCCTGGTTGCTCCAGGCTGATCCTGGCTAAAACAGTTCTGGCTGTTTGACTATTTGCATATGTTCATTTTGGCCACCTTCTATTTACTTCCTCATTTCCCTGAACATAACGCCAAACTTTGGTCAGATCTTGCACCTGACAGCTTGAATGTTGTTGGCTGAACAATAATGGTAAGGTATATTCTCATTTGGGTCATGAAATTATCACTCAGACTACAAAGTCGTTTTCTGGGAAGACCTGCACCTCCAAACAAAACTCATTCTCTATATGGATAGCCAAGAGTAACCTGGAAGTGGTAGAGGTCCCGGTGCCAAAGAAACTTCATTACATTCTGCATGTGAAATATGCTACAATGGCATTTAGTCCACCTTGAGCAACATTGGCATGTCATATTCTGATGTGATTGTACTGTCTTTTCACATGCTCTGGTATCAGGGCTCCTCAGGGACCTCCTGTATGTTTGACTATCTGTTAGAAACTCAACTTGTGCCTTTGATCCCAGCATTTTTTCACTTGCAACTTCTGGAGCTTTCAGATTGTTTGGTATATCACCTTATGCTCAAGACAAGTCATTTTGGTGGCTGTTGCCTCAAATCAGGGTTAGTAAGTTCCAAGATCCTATGGCCCCACCTTGCAATCCTTTCATGCAGTGTGGTCTCAGAATCACTTTGTACCTAAATCCATCCCTATGGTAATCTCAGGTTTTTGCATAAAGCATAAGATTAACCTGTCAATATTCTTTCTGAAAACACACATGATACAAGCACAGAAAAAGCTACTTGCACTGGATATTTCAAGAGCCTTACTTTATTATCTTGTTAGGACTAAACCCTTTAGATTATTTCCCACCCTCTGTGGCCATATCCTCCGGTGCCTTACAGGAAAAGTAGGTCATGCTTTATGTTTCAATGTGCATTCAAAAGAGGTGGTAGTAGGGCACACACTCAGAACATCATGATATGCCTGCTTTAGAAATGTGCTGGTAATTGAGATGTGCTAGGTTTGACGAGAGTGACCTGCTGACCTTTGTTAAACATTATACCTTTGACATGGCAGCAAGGTCAGATAAGAAGTCCAGAACAGCATCGTTTCCTCAGTCATTTGACTAATACAGCTGTATTCCTTAATCCCAATATCCTTGGAGGACATTACTTTCCAGTCACATATAGTGGGATCCACACTGGCACATACTTGAAGAATGAACAATTAACCTACAGCGGTGATTCTCAGCTAGGGTGCTGTGGTACCTTAGAGTGCCATGAAACCCTTTCAATGGTGCCTCAAGCTGCTACCCAATATTAGCACTCTTAGGTCTGCAAGCACCTACACATGATTTACGAGATAAACCCAGAGATTTCAAGTAAGAATCCCTAGTGTCAAAGACACTCTGACCTGGTCTTTATGATTTCTTTGCAACAGAAGAATTTCTGTAACTTTTTTTCTATAATCAGAAAAAAAAAGGTGAATGCTAAGAAGGCTGGCATTTTCTTCAGGGTGCCTTGAGTCTAGTGAGTGTGCCGTGAATCGAACAGGGGGTGCCTTAAGTCTGAAAAGGTTGACAACCACTAGCCTGCAATAATAGTGTTTCTTTGAGCTTTAGTTCATTTAGATCCTATAGTGTGCCTTCTGTCGCTGCTTTTGGAGTGATCAGCAGGGATCCTGCTTTCTCTGTTAAAAAATTGCAAATTCTCTGATTAAAAAAACCCAAATCCATGAATAAAATAAAACACCACTATGTATATAGGTATCAATTGAACACAGTGTTTTATTGATATATTTACTATTTTAAAGCAATTTGGAAGCCTACCAGTGCCTCAGTCACTATAATAACATAAATTCTAAGTACCTAGAAATTCTAGTATTTGATTTTGGGTTTTTTATCATAGAAAATCAGAGCTCCCCCTGACCTGTTCACTCACCAGGATGCAGGTCCAGGCCCCTCACTTCCCCACCCCAGCCCTGCTGGAGGGGGCCCCCAACTACTGGGGCTATGGGGCCAGAGACCTGGGTCTGCAGCCTCCTGCCCCGCCAGCAGCAGCCAAGTCCCAGCTGCCACCCACAGGAGGTGGCAGGTGCTGCAGCAGAGTGGAGCATGGACCCCGGGTCCCCAACCCAGTGGGTGGCACAGTCAGAGCAGTCTGGTGGGGGGAGGGGGGAGGGCAGGCTACTTGTTGTGTGCTTGGGCTCCCTGCCCTGCTGCTTGCCCCCCACCCCCAGGGCCTCCACGGCACAGTGGGGCCAAGCGGGGAAGCTCCCTGCTGCTGCAAGCTCCACACCACCCTCGTGAAATGCCCCCTGCCTGGCCAGCAGCAGCAGGAGGCACAACTCCACGCTGCCACCCCAGCTGCTGCTGGGCGGGCAGTGGGCACTTTGCCAGGGCAGCGCAGGGCAGTGTCAACAAGCTTTTTCACCCTGCCTTGCCCCACTCTGTCCTACCATGCTGGGTCCCACCTGCTGGGCTGTGGAGTGTCTGGGGGGAAGGCAGCAGGGCTGGGAGCCTGAGCCTGTTGTGGGCAGCCTGCCTCCACCCTGTGTACAGATCTAGGGAGCATGTGCCCCCCCCCCCCTTCCAGAGTGCGCTCAGCAGCAGGGAGCCACAACCCACCTCCTTCCCCACCCCACTCTGGACGAGCTGCCCACAGCCCCATCCCACTCCCTGCTAGGGCCCTGCAGTCACATATGGCCCTGGGCCCCAAACCCCACACACCACCCAGCTGAGCAGCAGCTGCAGCTCCAGCCCTGCCCAACCATTTGGATTTCCCCCCCCTCCCTTCTAGTTAGTCAATCTATATGACAACATTGTGTGAACAGAAACACAAGGTTTGAGCTCTGTGCTGTTTGCTGAGTAATAATTACACACCCCAGCTTTCATTATAATTGAGCAACTTCATGGAAATGTAGTGGAACTGAAGTTAGTAGACTGCATCTAAGTAATTGGAAATGCAACTGCATGCATAGGTCAACGTGGGAGCAGAATAAAGGTTGTAATTATGGGAAGCATTCCCCTGTTGCTCTTCAGAAGTGCCTAAAACTACCCTGTATTAGCAGACGTGCATCTCTTGCATGAAATCTGATATCACTTCTCCCTCATTTTCCTCTCAGCATCACAAAACAGAGAGCCACTTAATTTACGTATAACTCTGGGTTTAAAGTTGAAGACTTACTCCCATTATTAGGATTCATAGTTATACCAGTTTCTCCTTTCTTTCTGCTTAACTTCTAGTATCACTGAATGCTTTCAAAGTCAGCTACTTTTCCTTTGTAAAACAAATGCTATTCAAAACAAAACATGGCATCCCTCCTCTCCCATATGTTTTACTGAACATATGGTTGTTTTTTATTACATAGCCTCTTGCATTCTAATAATATGATTTTAAAAATAATTTAACAAGTTTGTCACCTAATTTTTAGAAGACAAATGTTTCTTCTTTGTCATGTGTATATATAGGGTAAAAGGCATCTCTATGCAGGCTCAAATTCTGGTGTGGTTCAGTCTCCTGTTGCCTTTTGTGACAAGTACACCACTTGTGTTGACTGCGTTTTAGCAAGAGATCCTTACTGTGCTTGGAAACCACATGAAGCCTCCTGCACTGATATTCTTAAAGAAAGTGAAAGTGAAAGGTAATGGCACCTCTTGATTATTCTGCTGTGAACAATAAAAAATGTTCCACGTGTGTTCTGTAAATGTCTTCTAGCAAGATCATACTAATATCTGTTGTATTTTAAATATTTATTTATTAACTTTAATTTTGAAAAATCCAGTTGGCATTAATGAACATGCAATACAGTGGAACAACAGATAAGACCATTTTTTTTTAATTTTATAATTCTATCCACAAGCATATACCTTCATAAAAATGCACCAATTTTTGTAGCAGTTTCCTGGAAAGAACTGTAAATGTCTGCCTATATTTAGAAAAAATGATCCTTCATTTAATATGTCTATGTCAGGGGTAGATTATTACAATTTCAAATGCTTTGATTATTTTTCATAGGGATTGGATTCAGAATATAGGTGGAGATGCCTCATTTTGTTCTGGTAAGTCTTGGTTTTTATAAAAGTAATTTAAAAATACCTGTGTAATACACTTAAAAGGGTGTGGAGTTCAATTTATTTTGCATTTTTACCTATCATTGTGTGTTTGTACTTACTGTATAAAATTATGCTTTATATATTGTATTTGCAAATCTGTGCAGTGTACATCTCATCTTGGAATGTCTGTATTTGTATATATACATGTCATAATATTACACACAATACAGTAAACACTCAAATGAATCCAGGCCACTGCAACAGTAGCTTATGAATTAGATTAATGTTTACCCTAAATAATTATATTAAAGAGCCCTCCATTAAATTCTAGGTAATTGCTTGATCACTTGGGAATTCTAATGGCAGCATTAATAAGCATCAGAAGATTGTTCTTGCAGCAGAGGAAATGAATGTCAAAGAAGCTGATTTATGAATGGGAGAAAAGTTCTGAATACCATTTGAAATAAGACCTAGAGTAATTGAAATGATGCTGCAGTATGTTCACAGTTCAAATAATCATGTTTTTCTGGTTTATAATATGTATATTGCTGCTGTCATCAGGTCAAGGAAGCTTTGAGGAAAAGTAGACTTTTAGGAGACTTGCATTGCAGTAGCTTCCAAAGGGTTTATTTTTACTTTGTATTGTTATTAATATATATATATAGTATGAACCACTGTGAAAGTGTCTCTTGATAATTTTACTGTGTTGTATGTTCTGTACATACATATGTATCGGAAGAGAGTTACAACTGAGAAGTAGTATTTGGATAATGTTAGTTATATTTGGATTTATTTTTAGATGTTTATAGTATGTACATACTCAAAATGTACTACTAACACCTGGGAAGTCAAACTCATGTGGTCCCACAGGCCAAATGAGTGGCACAGGGACAGTCTGGGCCCACAGATCCTCTTCCCCTTCCCCTTCCCCTTCAATTGGCCAACCTGATCCAGTGGCTGCTCCAGGCAGTCTGAAATCTGCACTGCGCATGGTGTCTGCCCCAGCTGGACTGCTCCACACATGGTGCCCACCCTGGCAAGTCTGGAGACCCACGCCTGAAAGCACTGTCTGTAGCACAGGTCCCAGACTGGCTGGAGTACGTGCTGTGTGCAAGAGGCGTCCCAGAGTAGGTGCTGTGTATGATAAAGTCTGACCAGGGCATGCACTGTACACAGTGCGGCTGCCACTCTGGCTGGAATGCGCTGTGCATGGTGCCAATTCCAGCCACTTCAGGATCCATGTCACATGCAGTGTGGGCCCCAGACTGGCTAGAGCAGCTGCTGCATTAGGTATGAAGAGGGAGAGGGACAGAGACAAGAAATGGGAAGGGGCCCATGGACCTCCCCCAGGCCACAGGCGCACTTTATGCCCCTGTGTGTCTGATCACATTCAGGGGCAGCCCTGGGGGCCGGATGACAGGGCTCTGCAGGCTGTGTGTTTGACATCCTGACTTACACCTAAGAATGGTAAGTAGACTGCAGTAGACCTGTGGGCCATTTAGTTCAGTTTCTGGTCTCTGACTTTGGCTAGCACCAAATGTTTCAGAGGAGGATGCAGAGAAATCCCTCAATAGGCAGATGTTGGATTAATCAGTCCCTGTGGAGGTTTCTGTCTAATATTTGCAAGGTGGAGCTTGCTTCAAAACTTAGTCTCAGATTTTATATCCCGTAGCCCCTTAGTTTCTCAGGCGTAGCTATTCGGTGCTGACTTTGCATGTTGTCTTCTCCGTAGTTGTTGAGGAGGTAGCCTTAGAAGCATACACTTTATATTTCCAGTGTGACTAGAGGAATCACGAAACAATAGAGATTAGTGCAAACAGAAATTATTGCTGATACTTTGCACATTTATTTTGATGTTCCAGATAAAGTAAGAGAGAATTTTCTGCAGCATACATTCAAGCATGGGAGCACAGCAGAACTCAAATGTTCTCAAAAGTCCAACCTGGCACAGGTAGTTTGGAAGTTCAAGGATGACGTACTGAGAGTGGAGAGTCCCAAGTATCGTCTGCTGGAGAAGGCACTGCTCATCTTCAATTTGTCAGAAGGAGACAGTGGTGTTTATCAGTGTTTGTCAGAAGAAAAAGTGAAGAATAAGAAGTTTTCTCAAGTGGTGGCTAAACATATTTTGGAACTGAAAAAAATCCAACATACCACAGTGGGCCCAACCCACCCAGCAACACAGACAGAAGGTAATAACAATGTGCCAAAAGTGTCACCTGTACCAACAGAAGGGTCTACTGCTCAAACTTCAACCACTCAGATTGTACCACTAACAACAACAAGGACAATAACAAAACCAGTTGTTCCCATCCTTACAAGTGCAACTTCCAACACTGGGATCTTCAATCCAGTTCCTGATGCAATCCCAGAAAAGACAATGTTCTTAAAGTCAAATGATAATTTCCTTTTAATGTTCCTATTTCTGTTCTTTTTTATTCTCTTCCTGTGTCTGTTCACCTACAACTGTTACAAAGGGTATTTACCAGGCCAATGTTTAAAATTCCGGTCTGCTATGTTATTTGGTAAGAAAAAGTCCAAGGCAGATTTCTCTGATTGTGAGCAAAGTGCAAAAGAAACATTAGTGGAGCAAGCCAGCATCAGCATTCAAAATGGGGAGCAGCCAAAGCCTGCACATGATACTGGCTACGAGACTGAACAAGACACTGGAAATGGCCAGGTTCGGCATCATGATGAATCGCAGGCTCTCAAAGAAGTCAAGGGCAAACCTTTTGATGTTAAGTGTGAACTAAAATATGTTGACTCGGATGCAGAGGGTGACTGAAGGAGACGTTCCTCCACTTTAATTGTGACAGTAACTGTGGTTCTTACAGCTAATTGTTTGAGTTCGGATAGTATGGATGTGACAGCTGAGCCATAGAAGGTTATGTGCGCTTAACCTATACAGCAAGCCAATCTCTCAAACTTTGCTAGAGTAGAAACATGTTTTTTATCTGCAAATCATAGTGTTCATAGTGGTTCTTTTATTCTTTTTAAAAAATGGCCAGTTTCAGATCACCATTTGTTTATTCCCAAGATTTTTCAGAATACTTTTAAAGTTTGCAGATAGAGTAACTGATTTTATTTAATCCCTATTTTCCATAAAATAACAATGACTCGAATACAGTTGGCTTCAAAAAGTACCTCCAGTCTGCACGTTTTAGCTGCCATTAAAAAAAAAAAATCTAATTTAATTTTAATTCCAAATTGGAAATGAAGTTTAGTTTATCAGATTGGTAAATTATAGTCTTTTGTCCAGATTGGGACATTTTTGTTTGCTTCTAGTTATTCTTAATATATGCTTTTAATTGCGTTTGTTGACACATTGGGTAGCTTTACTTAAAGTTTAATTTTCAAAAATTACCTTTGTATACCTTTTAGATTTTAATGTATGCTGGGATGGATCTGGCTTGACTTGCGTAAGATTCTCAGGGATAATCTTTGCTTCAGTGCTTTTGTTGTTGTTGTTGTTCTGTTTTTTTTCCATTCTAGAAATATAGGTACAACAGGAATTTGGATTCGTTGTGGGGGGGGGTTATAGCTATAGGGAAGCTTTTTTGTTCTTAAACAAGCTTGGACAAAGTCACATTTTGTTTCCATACAAAACTGGATGTCATGTTTTGAAAAAAGCGAAATGGTACAGGCAAGCAGCTGTCACTGAGCTGTGACACAGAGTGTTTTGCACTGGAACCGATTGAGAATTTATGAGAAGAACTCTCTATAAACATTGGATGGGGTGAACTTGCTGGAATTGCCTGTTGCAAACACAGCTGGACAAGAAAACATGGCAAGTAACTCAACTTCCTTTTCATAACAAAACCTTCCTACTACTTCAGCTTTTCTGGATGACTTCCACTGATCTCTTATGCAACTGGAGACTGAAACTGGATTTGCTCATCAGTTACCTGGACTGTCACGTGAATCATGCCTGCAAGTGCATTCTTATTCTAAGCCTGATTCACAGGAGCACTGTTTGTCTGTAAAAGTTTTTTTTTTTTTTTTCATGCAGTACAGTTCTAAAGAATTGTTCCTCTCACTGTGTCTTTCTGTAAATATTGTTAGAAGTAGAGAGAATATTCCTAGTGAATAGGTATGCCTGGGCTGCTTTTTTTTATGGTGACCTTCATTCAAACATAGTATTATTAGACCGTCTTAGTGTAAACCGTTTATATTTTATAAGATTCAGTTTGGTTTTATTTTTCTATTTTTAATTGTGTACAAAAGAAATGTGATGGAATAAATATTAAAATAAATTGTATTATCTTTGTTTCCATGACCCTTGACATCATGATGCCATTTTGCATGTTCTAAGGCCTAACATTCCTTGTGGTTTTCTGTAAGTGGGACGATGAAGCCTTCTGTAATCAATTTCCACCGGGTTTTCTCTTCAGGTTTAAATCCTGGGGGTAGGGAGGAGAGCGAATGAATCTGTTTTCCAGGAAGCTAGTGACATCTTCTTTTATTGCCCTTCTAAAATTCATTTATCCTTTTTTTTGCATTATTTCTTCAGTGTGTGATGTATTTCTTACAACTTTTGTCCTTAGTGCCCTCTTTTTTTCTTTTCTGTCCTCTTCTGTCACACAGCCTCATCTCCTATACCTTTCCCTCCTACTGGTACCTCCTTTTTGTCCTGTGTGGGAAGTGATTCACCTCCTTCACCCACCAATAACCAGCCTGATGTTTGGTCTAGCCCAGAGCTTGTAATGGTCATGTTATTGCCACCTTTCCTCAGTGACCAGGCCCAGCATGTTAGTGTCCATGGAACCTTTCACCTCTTCTGTCAAGCCACAGGTAAGTAGGAGGACCCTACGTAAATCAGCACTTTCCTCATTGCATATTTATGTCTGTTCCTACGTTCTGATTTAATACGTGTGATATAAAAAGCTGGCTTCAGGAGTGTCAATCTAAAGACCTGTCCTGAAACCAGTGGAATAAGTGTCAGTCAGCACCTTTCAAGGTTAGACCCTAATACTGTACTGAAAACTCTACGTCCAGCTTAGCAAAGTTCATAAGTCCATGACGCACATTAAGTATGTGACTAGTCAGTTGACTTTAATAGACTTACGTACTTAACTAATTTGCTGAATCACAAGTGTGTGTAAATTCACACATTTAAAGTTTCAGCAATATGTTTTGTGTGATTTGCATTTACTTTCATATTTTACCCTCCCCAGATATTTTTAGGTTTGTTTCTATTAGATGCTAAGTTCCTCATGGTTTTGATAGCTTTCTTTGCACTATGTATACATCAGTGGAAGCATATAATGGTATGGAAGCCTAAGCGGCTGTTGTGTATTTTTTCCCAGAATTTCATAGCTTTTCATTAAGTGGGCATGTGGTATAGTATCTGACTGTTTTGAATTCAAAACAATTTTACTGCAGGACCGTGGAGTGTGAGATTAAGTTCAATGAATAGAAATATGTTATTTTAAACAATTTTATTACTTGATTAGGAGAATAGGTTTGGACATGTTTTGTACGCATTTTTTTCATGTTCATATTCTTTATTCATGGAAAACTGTTAGACTGAATTTGACCAAAATATTTTTTACAAAATGGAAGGCCATGTTTCCATGAATTGAAAGGCTGGGGTGGAAACAGTTTTTATAATATACATTCCCTTCAGTGTCTGCTGTCCAAACATTATACTGAGTTGAGAATGTCATTAATGAATGTTTAGTTTGTTGCCTAAGATGAGAAACACCAAAGGATAAACAGCAGAAATTGGAAGAAAAAAATGCATGATCCATAATCTTAAATTGATATTGGTATGTGTAAACATTGGCTCTAACTTTTTTTCATGTGTTTGCTCTCTTTTAAATAGTTTTGTAAATTTAAAAGGAGTTGCTTTCACCTGTGGCAGCAGGTAAAGACAAAGAATGTAATTAATCTTATTTTTAAAAGACTGGGTAGTGTCACCAGTTCTTACATTTGAAATCTTACAACTTAAAATAGCAATACAGGGAAGCCAAACATGTTCTTATTCAGAAAATAAACTTGGTGTTGTAACTTAAACAAAATACATTACTTTCCTTTTAAAAGCACTGAACTATTCATCTTATGTGGAGGATGAGATGTTTCATTTTCTTCTGAAAATTAGGTCTTTTCCTCTGGCAGCTGCAGGACTCTTGCTCCCTGAATGGAAATTGTGTTCCATGGCTGAAACACTGCTAAACCACCAAATTGATGCTACCGTGTTGTGGAGGCTTCTAAAAATTATGGGAATGTTCTTTGCTGCTAAGCAGCGGCAGTTACCTAAGCAACTCTCTAGCCAGAGTTGTTTAAATATTTGCAGAAAATATTAATGATACCTTAGATTGAGGTGCTCAGCTCCTGGCCTGTGGGCCAGAACTGGCCACCGGCGCCATGTCACCTGGCCCACAAGGCTCCCCATGTGTCTATGGGGAGCCCTACAGACCCTAATCCTGTACGCCAGGTTAGGTGTGCAGGGTGGCAGAGGGTCCAAGGCCCACAAGGATGGGGCAAGACCCTGGAGTCTGATCTTGGTGCATAGGGTTGGGTAGGACCGGTGCGGGGCCCTGAAGTCTGATCCTGGCATGTGGGACTGGGCAAGGACAGTGTGGGGGTGACATACAGGTGCACGGGGGTGGCATGAGACCTGATCAGGCCTGAGGACCCATTCTATGCCATTTCTTTGGCCCCCAGGGCCAAAACCTTGAGCACCTCTGTCTTAGAGAAAAGAAACTTGACTAGAGTTTCCTCTAGCACTACATTCAATATAAAATGTGTTTGGCAGGGGAGAATAATATGACATATGGATGGAGAAAGAAATGTTAGATTAAAGATTGTACTGCATGCAATTCTGGGCACCGCACTTCAAGAGGGATGCGGATAACCTGGAGAGGGTTCAGAGAAGGGCCACTCGTATGGTTAAGGGCCTACAGACCAAGCCCTACGAGGAGAGACTAGAGAAACTGGATCTATTCAGCCTCCGCAAGAGAAGGTTGAGAGGCGACCTTGTGGCTGCCTATAAGTTCATCACGGGGGCACAGAAGGGAATTGGTGAGTATTTATTCACCAAGGCGCCCCCGGGGGTTACAAGAAATAATGGCCACAAGCTAGCAGAGAGCAGATTTAGATTGGACATTAGGAAGAACTTCTTCACAGTTAGAGTGGCCAGGGTCTGGAACGGGCTCCCAAGGGATGTGGTGCTCTCCCCTACCCTGGGGGTCTTCAAGAGGAGGTTAGATGAGTATCTAGCTGGGGTCATCTAGACCCAGCACTCTTTCCTGCTTATGCAGGGGGTCGGACTCGATCTATTGAGGTCCCTTCCGACCCTAACATCTATGAATCTATGAAAGCTTCTAAAAAGGGCACCATGTATAATGCAGTCACATAATTGTGCTGTAGAATCTGAGCTTTCATTTAAAAAGTCTAGCTTGTATGAGAAACAAAAACTGTTGAATATGAATCAAATGTAGTATTTTCTGTAACCTAGTTGCATTCCCCTCCTCATCCCCACCCCTCTAATGTTAGTCCCTTGCTTGGGCGATTTGTGTTTTCCTACTGGCTTTGTCATCTTTTTGGATTCAGAATCCTAAACATCTACTAATAAAATTCAGTTTGCTTTGAGCAGTCTATAAACTTGAACAATAGTTAAAGGTATCAGTATCTTCCATGCTAGATGTTGGTAACACTAAATTGTAAGGATATATCTTAAATTGTTAACTGGTCACTTTTAACAGAAAAATTAAGCTAAAGTAGGGGCTGGGGTGGGGCACTGGATATCAAATTTAGCTGCAGGGGGACTTCACAACCTCCTATCTCAGAATTAGCACCTCTGTCCTTGAAAGGTAATCAGATTTTACTCACCAACACCATGCAGTAATAATTGTCTATTGTCTCCCTTAATATGTTGTTGAGCATAAGGGAATTGGCTTCCTCCATAGGCCAGGTACCCTAGTTGGATCCTTTTTCCCACAATGCCTGATGGCAGTCTGTCTTCTTGAACCTCTGTGGTGCATTAGAGGATTTGTGTGACTATGGCACAAATGTCTGGCCAAGGAGCCCAGCCCAAAAAGGAGAATGGAGGATAGAAGAACCCAACTACATAGCAGCTCAGAAGGATTTGTTGGGAGGAAGTAGGAGCAGTTGAATTCAAGAATGTCAAACGAAGCATGTCCAAATCAGAACTATTTGGAGTTTTCAATTCTGCTGAAAAGCTCAGTAATTGAACTTTTCAAGAGACCTTTTGGAATTAGTTTTCCCATAAGATGGAAATTGCAAGGTTTAGCCAGCTGTAGTTCTCCAACTTTTATTCTAAGGATTGTTCTGCAATAAAGATCTCCCCTTGGACCATGGCCAGTCATCATCCTTCGTTAAGCACTTTTTATTGACTACTAGTCCACAAAAGTAAAACAGTCATTAATAGTGATTTAGAGATTGGATTTTGAGGACAGTGCAGTAGACTGCTGAGCAACAGATGGCTTGTGAACAACCGTTCCAAGATCAAACCAATAGAGGTTAAAAGCCTCATTTCTCCCAGAGTCACCTGGTTCTGTGGAAAAATATTGTAAAAGTTCCTAAGCAATTTAATTTTATTTTTTTGGACAGGAAATTAATGTTGATCTTAAAATTATATGATTTTAATTTTGACTTTAACCTTGATTCTAATCTCCATGGTCATTTTGATCCATGCTTGATTTTATTTTTATGCTTATCTGGGGATGGCAAATTTGTAACCAGTTTTGTAGACTCCTTGTATTGTTAGTTTGTGCCCAGACCTTTAGGGTCTAATCGGTTGCTGGCTGAACTGAACAATTTAATATCTGTGGCTGTGCTAATCAGATCGATAGGTTTATTTTATGAAGGCATCTTTGTGCTCTACGTATAGATCTCTATTTCTCCTCTCCTTTTCACCCCGCTTTCCTCTTCCCTGTACCTTGGTGCTTTTTTAATACTAGAAGTTAGCTGCAAGGCTACTTCTAGAGAAGTCCTGCCCCTAATAAATGTTAACAGACAAGGATTTAAAAGCTGCCTTTCAAATAATTTGCATCAAAATCCTGTAGTCATATGAACAAAAGCAAAGAAAACTAAGCTTAGCTTATTTCATGTCACATTCTTTAATAGACCAAGGCTGTCATGAGCTCATCAACATGTTAGATCAGCACTTCCCTTGCCCAGAGATTAGGCAGTCTGCTTTGGCCCCTTACACTTCATCACATATGCAGAACAACTGTTGAATGTCAGTATCCCCACCCCTGTTCTGAGAAGATACCTAGTCAATTAATGAGGTCTTCAGGCAGACTGCAAATCTTTCTGTAGGGTCTGTGAAGCGAATGTGCTGTTTCTAAATTCTTGGTGATGGTGGTAGATCTGAGCAAGCAGGCAACACTTTCCAGGTTAGTGTTTTATCTTTAAATGCATCAGTGTACAGCAGCTGTCAGTCTGAGGACAATATGTGCTGGAACCCTAAAAGTACGTGGTGTGCCAGAGCAGATTCATTTTAAGTGAAGGTTTTCTTTAGGACCTTAACCTGCTATTTAAATCTTCTTCCTAGACCTACAGCACACTGGATTTAAGTTAAAACCCTGGGTGGGGGTGGTGGAAAA